CACAACATAGCCTTTAAAAAAAACCCCCCAAAAAAAAAAAAAAAAAAAAAAAAAAAAAAAGGAAGAAATAGGGGCCGGCAGGTGGTCTGGTTAAGGCACTAGACTCCCACATGGCTGGCCACAGTTCAAGTCTGGACCTGACGGCTTGTTTTCCTACCTTGCCTTTCTCTCTCTCTCTGGGCAAATTCAACAAATGATGATGATGATGAAATTTTTAAAAAATTGTAAAAAAGCTAAAGACTCACAGAGGATCCAAATACTGCCTGTTCCTAATGGCAGAAAGCAAGGTTACTCACTCCAGAATGGTTTACAGTTTTAGAGTGGCTCTGAGCTGGATTCTGTACAAACTGACAATCGCACTTTTCCAAAGAACTAGACAAAGCAGTCCACTGGGAACTCAGGCGGACACTAGTTATACATGTGACACCTTGTTCTGAGACAAGCTACAGACTGCAGGGGAGTTATCACCAACACTGCTTCAGTGGCCCCCTCACTACATACCAAGCATCCAGGTTGACTCTGGGTACATTTTACTGTCATCCTACCAAGCCCTAAGGCAGAGATCACACACCTATTTTAAAAGTAAAGACCACAGGCTAAGATGGTCTGCTCAGGACATGTCAGGGAGTGGGACTGGACCCCCCTCCTTTGCCTTCCAGTCCTCATGTGCTCCTTTAACACTCTCACGTTGCTTCACAAAAGCCCTGGGGCTACCTGTGCATTCTAGGAGGTCTCCCATCAGAGTGCCTGGATTAATCTGTCCCACTTCTTTCCATCTTGTAGGTATCGTAAGGACAGCATCCCAGACAATCTCAGAGAGCAGTGCCATGTGTTCTAAGTGACTTCAGCTTGGAAGCCAATAATCCTAAAAGACACCCGGAAGGCTAACGCAGTTCTGGGATTTGGAACAGGAAGACCTGGGTTTGAGTTCCAAATCTGAATTCCCTAGCATGGAACCTCCCCCTTAGGATCTACTTACCTACCTTGCAGAGGTACAAGGCTATTCTGAGAGAAAACACACGCCAGAGCAAGAGGGACCCAGCAAATCTCTAAAAATGTGAGCTCCTCCTCTTTCTGTACTCACTCCATCCTGCTCCTGGCTGCTGGCCCAACCTAAGGCATCAAAGATCCCTCTCCCCTATGAGGACCAAGTCAATGGGAAGGAAAGGACACCTGGACCTGTAATTTTATCACTGGAAGCATATTATAATTATAATTATTATTATTATTGTTAGAAATCTGCCAGAGGGTACATGCACTAGCACAGAGAGTGATGGGGGAAGGGTGAGAAAGCACCACCCAAGGAAACATGGTCATGCCCCCATCATTTATCCTGTTTCTCCCCACCAAGGGGGGTGTTGGGGACAACAAATACACGTACATAGTGTGTTTCTAAAGCTGCTGGGTCTGGCACTCAAACAGCAGTCAGCCATGTGGGATCCAGCCTCCTCAACCACCACACCACCGGCTGGACCTATCACTGGAACTTTAAAAGCAGACCCTGGTTGTAAAATGGGGACTGCAGAAAGCAAAGCCAGACGGAAAAGGGCTTTCTGGGGAACAGCACAATCAAGTATGTCCCCCCAGAGAATGATGTTTCCTCGGCAGGACTGGGGAGGATGGGTGGGATTTTACCCTGTTATCTCGAGGAGATACGAAGTTTAAAACCTAAGAAATGCCAGGCCAGTCAATCTCTGAAGCCCTTAAGATCCCAACAGTTTGGACTACAAAATGGATTTAATGCAGACTGCAGCTGGCATCCCTCTGTGGGGTCAGTAGATATTCACTAATAAGATGAGGCACCATCAACTTCCCTGGTGCTGCAGCAGCTGTCCCTTGGTAAGTAGACACGACAGGACAGGCGTTCTGCAGGAAGAGGGCTCTGAGGAGCCACAGAAAAGTCCATCAAAGGGCTGATCAGGAGGCTGCAGCCATCCCCACATATTCTCTGTGGGCACCTGGGTGTGAACATTCCAGAAAGCTCTGAGAGGAGGGTAATACAGGGGGACAAGCAGTAGGTCTAGATCCTCTTTATAGAGAGAAAAGTTCTTTGAGTAAAGAGATGGGATGGTAGAATCTCTTTTAAGCTTTTGCCTTAAGAATTTCACAAAAGGGCAGTATCAGAAAAGTCACTCTTGACGTGATCAGTCAGGACTAGAGAGAAACCAACAGGGCAGGCCACAGAGCACACGGACCCTTCCTCTAAGCAGTTCCCTGAGCTGGGCTCCCAACTCTAACCCCAACCAAGTGACCCCGGTGGGGTACAGAGTCCCCGGCTTCTCTGCCCCCAGATCTGAAAAGTAGGGAGAGATAACCAAATGAAAACCTCAAGTTTCCCT